CGGCCCCCCCCGCCCGCCCTCCGCCCCCCCCCCCCGGTCACTCTCCCGCCACCTTCCACAGGAGCTGCCCAAACCTCCGGTGCAGGCAGATTCCAGGGCTCTGTGCTTTTCCACGCCAACCTCCTGGGGTCCCCCAGGCCCCCATATCTGACTCCACTAGGCCTAAGGGCCCCCAGGCCTGGGAAGAAGCCGGTGTGAGACGGAGAGGACTTTAATCAAACGCCTGGTCTCAGCCCTGCCCAGAGCAGGCACGGGGCGGGGAGACCCGGGCCAGGGCAGGCATGCAGGGACAGCACCAGAGTGTCACAGTGCAGCCAGCAGGCTGAGGGACAGCGACGGTGCCAGCAGCAGGGACGGGGCCAGCAGGACCCGGGGCTGCCCGTTGAGGCGATCCCAGATCCAGCTTTGGTAGGAGGAGACTCGCAGGAAGATGGGGGGGGCCTCGCTGTGCTTGCAGCCGGCGCCCCAGCTCACCATGCCTGCCAGGTACCACGTGCCCTCGGAGGAGCAGACCAAGGGCTCTCCGGTGACCTCCTGCGAGGAGGGGTGAAGGCGTGGAGAGGTCAGGGAGGGAAACAGCCAGTGCAGGGACAGGCAGGGCACCCTCCCCGGGTCCCCTCCCCACCCTGCAGTGTCGACCTAGCTAGAGGTGGCCAGACCCAGCCCTCCCTCCAGGGCTCCGTCCTGCCCTGGCTCTCACCGCCCTGTCTCCCCCACCCCACCCCTCTGCTCCCACCTCCCACCTCTGCCGCAGCCCCCCTCAGCCCTGCTCACATAGCAGAACCGCTCCCTGTCGGTGTCCCGGGCACAGAACATCTGAGGGTTGATGATGCGGACCAGGGAGGGGACCTTGGAGAACCTGTGGTAGAAGTCTTCGCACTCCTTGTTGGGCAGGACGGTGACCTCCTTCTCCATAATAGCCCAGGACTGGGGCCACTTGTCTGTGTGACAAGGGTTCAGGTGTGGCTACTCTGTGGCTGCCCACTGCCACCAGCCTGTCCCACCTGCGCCCTTCACCTGTCACTCAGCACGGCCCTCCCACCACACGAGTGGGTACTTCCCAGAGGCCCTCGGTCCAGAGACTGCGAGCAGGAAGCCTCGCTGGGCCTGCTTCCTGTGGAGTCCCCCAACATCCCGAGCCCCCCAGTTTCCTGGCCTCGCCATCCCTTCTCCCCCAGTGCCTGCAGGACCTCACTCAGGTCTCACCTCCTTTTCCCCAGGCCTCCTCCCTGCCAGCCCCCAGGCTCCCGCGAGGCCTGCTCCCACCCCAGGCTCTCCGCCCCAGGCCTGAGCTCCTGGAACCTCACCCACCCCAGCCGCTCCCTGACAGGCCATGGCAGAGACAACAGCCACGAAGGAGGCTGGAGCCCTCGGGGCCGTTTGAGGACACTGGCTCCTGGGCACCCGCTTGTGGGTGGGTAAGGGGTCCCCTGAAAGGAGTGGTTGTCCCTGGGGTCTGTCAGGAAATAGCTGGGTGGGCTGGAGAGGATAGGCCCGCTCCTGAGTTAGGGTGATGAGGGGCTGAGGGCTGTGGACCCCGAGTGGCTCCCACCCTCGGGGCACAGCCTGCCCAGCTGGCCGTGGGGTCTCCTGGGAGCACCTGCAGGCAGCGGCCTCTCACCTCGGTAAGCTGTGGGTGCCCCGGGGCCTGGGTGGACTGAGATAGGACTCTGTGCCTTCCCGCCTTCCAGGCAGTCCTGTTTACTCCTAGCCTGGGCCTGAGGGCTCAAAGGCAGCAGGGGTCCCCTGAGGCATTCACGGCTGAGACCCTCAAGGGGAGGGAGATGGGGAAGGAGATGAGACGAGGGCCCGGGAAGGTCCTGGGGGTGCGGGCTCCCTGACAAAGGTGCCTCAGAGGCTGTCCCCGCTGGGCCCAGCCTGCACCAGGGGCCTGTCTGCCCCGTCCCCGCCCAGGCCTGGGAGGCTGCGACTCACCGTGCGCCTTGGGCAGCCCCCAGCCCGTCACGGTGCAGACGGAGCGGTCCTTCAGCTCGTGGTCCGGGCCGGGCAGGCAGACGGGCCAGACGTAACTGCTGTACTGTAGCGGGCCCTGGAGCTTGAGCAGGCCGATGTTGTCGGCCCGGCCGACCCAGGACCAGTACCGCTGGGCCCGGTACCTGCTGTTCACGATCACCTTCAGCACCAGGACTTCGGAGAAGTTCTGTGCCCTCTGGTCAATCCACGGACTGCCCACCTTCACTGAGTACGTGACGTCACGCCTAGGGGACCGCAGAGGTGGCAGTCTGCGGTCAGCTCCAGGCCCCTGCCCGGCCCCCGGCCCCTGCCTTCCAACCCTCTGTTGACCTGTGAGCAAGGGCAGGCGCCCGCCCTCCTGCAAGCCCCCATCCCCCGGCCTACTGAACAGGGCAGGGGTGAGTAGGGCCCGGCGCACGGCCTCACCACTGCCCTTCCCCTGCCTTCCAACCCTCTGTTGACCTGTGAGCAAGGGCAGGCGCCCGCCCTCCTGCAAGCCCCCATCCCCCGGCCTACTGAACAGGGCAGGGGTGAGTAGGGCCCGGCGCACGGCCTCACCACTGCCCTTCGTTTCAGGGAGGAGGAATGCCAGGCTCAGGGCCGGTTCAGGGCCGCACGGCTACAAAGTGCTGGGCTGGTCCTAGACTTGACTCACAGAGGCCCGGGACTGGCCATGACCTGGCTCTCAGGGGCTGTCCTGGTATGCCCCTTGGAGTGCCCCTGGGGCCTTAGGCCTGGAACACCATTCCCCAGGGCCAGGGCACTCCCCGTGCACCCACTCCTCTGTGCCCGCCAGGCTTCCCTACGGGTACTTATCTCCATGTCTGTGTCCCCCAACAGCCCGCGACTGCCCAGGCCAGGCTCAGGCCCGAAGGACTGTCAAAGTCCACTGGCCGGAGGGGGAGAGACAGGAAGTGGAGTGAGGCTGGTGGGAGGGCAGACCCAGACTTCCTTCCTGGGGAGAGGTGGCAGGAGGCTGGACAGTGGCACCCGAGCCTCGCTCCCTGCCTACAGGCTGGGGGGCAGGCGC